TATGAAATGACATTTTATTTAAAATATGGCCAAAAATATCCAAATATGTTAACTATTCAATTGAACATAAAAGTGAATTGATAGTTTTCAACTGGAAAATAGAAAACTTGTTGGATTTCTGTTGTTTTGCATTCTTTTATTCATGTCACTTCAGTAAACCTAGTTTAGCACCTTATACTTTACTGCCCAGTTAATTAATCTTTCCTGGTACTTTCTGAGATTTTAAATCAGAAAATAGCACATGCAGTAAACTTCAAGAATGTATCTCAGTCAGCTTTTTAATAGCATGCTTTGATATTTATATATTTTTATTCATATTTGCTATCAAATAAAAAATGAGGCATATTTGATTGAGATACTTAAATTGAAGTTACACAACTATTTAAAATCACTCTTGACAGTTTAGGGCAAATTTTAGATTCTAAAAGCAATAACACCGTGGTGGGAATCACAAGATCTAACGAAATCAATTAAAGACATCTTAATTAAAAATATATATCATGTGGATGCATGGATTTGTAATATTATCCATTAATTTTTCACAGAGTTCTAGGCATTCACTCAGTCTAATATAAGAGAATTCCCTGAAGAAATGCCAGTAGCATTAGCAATGAGAGTTGCATGTGGAAGAGAAAACCAAACCAACAAACAAAAAACATTACACACTGTCTTGAGGATATGCTAGTTCAGTGGGTGTTCAGGGAGGGCAGATGATGCAAACAAAAAACATTACACACTGTCTTGAAGATATGCTAGTTCAGTGGGTGTACAGGGAGGGCAGATGATGTGTTTTGAGACTTCTGTTAGTTCACTAACCATGGAAGTATTTGTAGTAAATCAGACTGGTGGAACTTCAAGGGGAAAAAAAGTTATGCATCATCTCTAAACTGTATAAATGGTCCATTCATAGCTGTTAAGTTGACAAAGAAAATAACCATCAGTACAATACAAACCTTAGATTATTTGTCTCAGTTTCAGCAACTAAGGATATTGATTATGTTTAGTGTTTGCAGCCACTTACAACATCCTGTAACATTCTGCATGACTCATAAATTCTAAGAACTGTCATTATTCATGAGGACTCTCTAGATTTAAACCACAATTCTTCAGTATAATGGCAGATTTGTAGACACATTTAACTAGCAAAATGACATTCATTACAAATGTAGATTGTCCATATAATAACATGTTTGGGCTACATAGTCTTTGCACACAAAGTCAGAGTAATGCCTTTTTTTCCTTGAGTTTTAACCAATTCAGCAGTTCTTTGTCATAAGCACACTGTATCATTAAAAGGCTCTGTGCTATCCCATCTGCTTTTCTGTTTCATAGATGTGATTGCACTCCTGGATATGTAGGTGAGCACTGTGATATTGACTTTGATGACTGCCAAGACAACAAATGTAAAAATGGAGCACAGTGTACTGATGCAGTTAATGGATATACATGTGTTTGCCCAGAAGGATACAGGTGAGAAGGATCTGAAGACAGTACAACTATGTATGTCTTCTGCCAAAGTTGTTTTTTTCTTGCAAATACTGATTATTTTTTTCTGTTTTCATTTAGTGGTTTGTTTTGTGAGTTTTCACCACCAATGGTTCTACCTCGCACCAGCCCTTGTGACAATTTTGAATGTCAAAATGGAGCCCAGTGTATCATAAAAGAGAGTGAACCCATCTGTCAGTGTTTATCAGGCTACCAGGGTGAGAAATGTGAAAAGCTGATTAGTATAAACTTTGTCAACAAAGAATCCTATCTTCAGATCCCTTCAGCTAAGATTCGCCCCCAAACCAATATCACTCTGCAGGTAAGTTGGTTTGTGTTTTAGATTCTTTTCTGGAAAAGACAATAAATGACTTTTCATGATGTGGCATATTACCCAAAGCTGTCATTTGCTCACTTAAGTTCTTTTCACTCTTTGATCTAAAAATCTAGAAGAGTCAACTCAATAACTCTATATTCCTATTGAAGTAGATGGGCTTATTGATAGGAAAAGAAAGAATTTTGTCAGGTTGTCCTTTACGGAAGAATTTTAAAATGAAGTAATAGACTATGGCAGTAAATTCAGAGATTCACTTCTTACCACATTTTGATTTAATATTCATTTTTAGTTCTTTCTAAATGTTTCTTTCTTTTAACTAGATTGCCACAGATGAAGACAGTGGGATCCTGCTCTACAAAGGTGATAAAGATCACATAGCAGTGGAGCTGTACCGGGGTAGAGTGAGGGTCAGTTATGACACAGGATCTTATCCAGCCTCTGCTATTTACAGGTGAACCCAGACAAAACTAATTTCTAAGTGAAACAAAACCTGTATTAATTCTTTATATTAAAGTCTCATTTTTAATAGGTGGTTAAAAGAAATATATGCAATTGCATGTATTGTCAGACACTTAAAAACCTCTTGACAAAAGACATGATTTGGCTTGGCAAAAAATTCTAAAGCAGATATATCAGAAAGATAATATATTATTTGATGCATTAAAACTAAGAGCTAGCTTCCAGCAGAATATTTATGCATTTGTGTGAAGCCCACATGTGGACATGGAGTTTTTTCCATGATGCAACTGCCAAATAATTTCCCAGTTTGCAGGTTAAGTGTAGAACTAGACTGCATATGCAGAAATTAAGTGGAAGCTTCTCCTCCCTTCTGTGCTAGGCAGTCATATAATGTGGTACTTTTCCCTGGCAAGTGAAGAGAGAGCTAAAAACTTGATCCTGAAAAAAGACACCACTCTTAAAAAGGAATGGGTTTTGCTTCCAAAGTCATTAAGAGACAGAATCCACAGCTGCTTCTAGAGCATAATTTTTCAGTCAAGTTTCTCTGGTTCTGTGAAAAATTACCACCTGAATTTATGGGGAGGTATTATATAACTTCACAAGAACTTGCAGACAGACACTGCAAAAAGGCAACAGAGCATTGGTTGCCCTGTTGTTGCCAAAAATACTTTCAGAAGTAAAGGGGAAGTGTTCAATGAGTTTTCTTGAATCTTCTTTTTGCTATATTTACACCTTTCCTGTTGTAAAATTATATCTAGGATATAATTACTTTCTAGAGTTTGTAACAG